CGCGCGACGCGGCGGCCGCGGGCGACGCGCTGCGACGGATGATGGCGGAGGTTGAAGAGGAGGGCTCTGGCGGCGTCTCTATTGACGTTGATGACGGCAGCGGCAGCGACGACGGCGCCGCAGCGGCGCTCCGCGATGCTCGGGAGGCCAACGCCGCCGTCGAGGCCGCCATCGGCCGCCTCGCCGCCGCCACCGACGCGGCGGCCGCAGGCGGCAAGCAGAGGGCGGCACGGCAGCCGCGGGGGCCAGCCCCGAAGCGGCGCGCACCCCTGGGGTCCAGCGGGTCGCCGCCATTTGTCGCGGCCGGCAAGGCCCTCGCCTCCGGCAGGCCAAGCCGCGCGCTGCTAAGCGGCGTGCTCGAGGCGATTGAGTCCGAGAGGAGCGCGCTGCAGAAGCAGCTGATCCAGAAGCAGTTGCGGCGCGAGTTTGGGGGCGGGTCCGCCAGCGGGTCCGCGACGCCGGGAGGCAGCGACGGCGAGGACAACCCTTATGCAAAGCCGATCAAGCAGCTGACAGATGACCTGGCGCGGGCCAAGTGGGTGCATACGCGTGTGTGCGTATATGCGTTTGTGTGCATATATGCATTTTTGTGTTGCACGCGTGCCGGCGTTCGTGCATGGGTGTGTGGACGCAGGTGTGTGTGTGGTTGCGTGGCACGTGGAGCAAGCAGGGGATGCGGGTGTGTAGCTGAAGGATGATTTGGTGTGGGGCAGCCTTGGGGGGCTGCCACGCTCAATAAAAGCAAGGTCAAGGGAGAGAGGTGGGACGCGCCTGCGCAGCAAGCCCGGATGGCGTCAGGCCTGCTCCGCGAAAGCAGGCTGCCTGTTTGCAAGCCCCAACCCTCCTTCCTCTTGTTCTAAGCGCTTGCCTGGCGCCACCACACCGCTCGGCCCCCCGTTGCACCCCCCTTTGCACACCCCTTGCAGGCAGCGCGCCGCGGCCGACAGGGAGAACGCCAAGGCCGAGGCCCTGGTCACCGTGGTGTCCGCCTGGCTGCCGCTGCTGGACTCCTTTGACGCGGCGCTCGCGGCGCAGGCGGCCGCCGAGGCACGGGCGGGGCCGCCGCCCCCGGGGGAGGCCGCGGTGCACGCGGCATACAGGGCCCTGCACATCCAGCTGCTGGAGCTGCTCCGGTGAGGGCTTGGATATCGCCGGGTTAATGGCGCGCCTTGTTCGTGTTTGGGAAAGCGGCTTGTGTGGGGGACGGAAAGACGTTTTGGTTGTCTTTGCTGTGCACATGTGCTCGCACGGCGGTTGGGTCGCGGCTCCAATCGGGCCGTGCTGAGTCTCGCGGATTACGTCCGGCAAGGCACCGCCCTCAGTTATGGTGGGGGTGAGAGTTGGGGCTGCTTCGCCAGGGTGTGCGGTACTCCCTAGGCAGCAGCAGGCGCTGCCCTTGTTGCCAGCACACCCACAACCACTGCTGCCCGCTTACCGCTCACCCCTGCCCCGCATCCCCACGTGCACGCGCCCCTGGTCCCTGCCCCCGCAGGCAGCAGGGTGTCGAGGTGCTGGGCCAGGAGCAGGAGGGGCGCCCCTTCGACCCGGCCCTGCACGAGGCCGTCATGCGCCAGCCCCCGCCGCCGGGCTTCAGCGACGACAGCGTGGTCAAGGTGCTGAGGGCGGGGTACGCGGTCGGGGGCAAGCTGGTGCGCGCGGCGCTGGTCATCGTGGCGCAGGAGTGACACCGCCGCATGACGCGCCCCCTCACGCGTAGGGGGCATGGCGGCTCGTCTGTTGCTGTGCAGCAGATTAAATCACAATTGTTTCAGTCGTGCACGCATTTTTTGTTATCTTTTTCACGTGGCTGGAGTCCAACTCATATGCATCCCAGTCCTCGCGTTACTCTTCAGATGTCACAGTGCATCGCAAGCCGCACCCCACCCTTTGCCAAGTTGTAAGTCACCCACGTTGGGCCAAGGGCCTCATTGCAAGCCTTGATAACGACAGGCTCTAGGCGAGGGCAGCATTCAAGTTTCAAGGGTCGCGTCAGCACTGGGCCTGTGCAGCCTCGTGGGCTGCTGATTCAGCGAAAGGCGGGGGGCGGCTGTAAGCTTTGTGAGGCGCCGTCATTGCGGAAGCAGGCCACTCCTGACGCTGAGGACACACTGTTACCGCATGCACGCTCCATTTGCCCCATGCTGACACATGGATATGTTGGTCCCTTGGCTCCAGGTAGGGGTATGTCATTGTACGCGCCTTCACGCTGTGCACCAGGTGGCATTTGATGCGGCCAGCTGCCGTGACTCTCCCATGCAGGGCCCGTGCTTCTTGTGCTCACACTCACAGCCTAAAACGTTGCAGCTGGCCTGCCGCCTCATGCTGTGAGGGGGGGGGGCAACCGTTTCAGCTGGTGCAAGGGTGCTGTCATCCACGGGGCAGGGCAAGAGGCACCAGAGGGGCAGGGCAAGAGGCAGAAGGCAGGTATATAGCGACAACACCGAGGAGGCAGCCCGACACTTGGTCTGCGGGAAACACCGGGCATTTCATGCCTCAGGCAGGGAGTGATACAGGGTGACGCAGGGGGCAGAATTCTGGGGTGAGGCCGCCCTGGGGTGGCTGTGGCCTTGAGACGAACAGCGCCTCGCCATGCCTGCTGTACTGTGCGCTGCGCTTGCGGAGCGCCGCGCAGAGCCTACGGAGTGTTGTAAGGAGGTGGCCGCAACTTGCAATGCAGCAGTTTACTGGTGTTAATGTCCACTACGACATTCAAGCTGCGCGAAACAGACCCTAAACTTCCCAACATGCCATGCCTGTGAACTGCTCCAATGATCCCACCCCACCCAGGTGTCTCAGGGGCGCGATGTCGTCGGCGCGCCCACGCCATGGTGGCACAACTGCCGATGAAAAATCAGTCGATTAATGCTTGAGATGCACCCTGCTGCTGTATCACCGGACAAATAGCCACTTGGCGAAGAGGATACGTCGTCAACCTTGCGACACACATTTGCTTGTGATATCGTATCTGTATGTCATTCGACTGATCATGCGATTGTATATATGATCTCGTGTACTTGCTTCGTTCCCCTGCGCTCTTTTGCTCAGCTGAAACCCCCACATCGGTCCTCAGCATTGCAAGCCAGTGCATCGCGCGATCATCGTGTGTGTAAAGCATAATAATGGTCCAGGCAAGCCGCGCGCCTGCTGAGGACGAGCAGGTTTGCGGGGGGCGTCACGGTCAAAGCGCGCTGCAGCAGCGTGTATGCGCGAGCCACTTGCGCCACGCCGGCCCAGCAGCACGAGCTGGCACCATGAGAACACTCCGATGCCGAATAAAAATCGTATTCATCGTCAAAGCGGCTCGTTGGCCGCCTTTCGGCGAGCCCTGCACCCTGGCCGTGTGCCCAAACGCCACCTCGCCTTGTGTGCTCATGCCAAGCCGATTCCGCGCATCCTCCACACCCCACGATGTGCAACCGTCACCCCCACCCCCAGGTGCCCAGCATGGTCACTCTCGTCACCCAGCGCTCCGGCAAGGCCATCCTGATCAAGGCCGTCTCCAGCAGCTGCGACGAGGGCTCGCTGGCAAATGCGGTGTCTGGCGGGCTGCCCGGGGGCGTCACCTCGCCGGGGGCCCGCAGCGCGATGCGCGTACACGGGGACCACGACGACCCCACGGTGGGCGTGCTGACTCAGCACACACAGTGACCGTGTTGCTGGTATAAACCATGCTGACAGATCCAAACACGCCGGGTAAAGTCGTCAGTACAATGAATGTGCCCCCCTGCCGCGACGCGCTGCACCGCTGACTTCCAACTGGCGGGGTCGGCATGTCCAGAAACGTCTGAAACAGAGGCAGTCAAGAGTGAACCCATCCCCTTTTGATAAGCCTCCTCTGAACCACCACCACTCTGGCTGGAGGGGCTCGTGCTCTCTCACGCACGCACCCAACCGCGCCCCTCCCCCACAACCCCCCTTGCAGAACATCTTCCCGATGCCGCGCTACCCGCCGGCGCACACGTCTGCAACATTTGAGGCCGTGGCCGCGCGCAAGAGCCTGATCCTCACACCCCCTGAGATCTACGCAGAGTGCGCCCACCACGGTGGGTGCCCCCTCCAAAGAGGTGGCCAGCTTCTCTGATCTGATCCAGCAAGCACTGTTGACAGAAGTTGCTACGAGGGTGTCGACTGCTGGAAATCCCCGCAGAAGTCCTGCTGGTGCCTCACTGATATTGATCTCATGCCATTGTTATTCCCATGGCAACACATCCTAAACCTCAATCCTTTATACCGAGGGCGCTCGCCCGCCATGCACCAGCGCGCAAGGCGGGTCAAAACCCCAAACCTCGGACGCACAAAACCCGCAGGCGAGGAGAAGGCCAAGTTTGGGTGGCTCAAGCTGCTCACGCTCTGCACCATCGCCGGCTGCTACGTCGGCTTTGGCTTCACGCTGTGCCTCATGGTGGGCGGCAACATCGGCGCCGACATCCTTGCGGCTCGGCCAGGGCTGTTCAGCCTCGTCTACGGCGCCGTCGGATTCCCCGCCGCCTTCACCATGGTATGCAGGCGGAGCCACGTTTGTTCGTATTCTCCCGCCCCCGGAGCAGCAAGCTGCCGGCTGTTGCAGCACACAGCGACGCCCGAGGCTCTCCACCCTTGGCCTCGACCGTGCCGACGGACAGCAAGTATAAGACCCGACAAATTTTTGGCCCTTGTTCTGACCACCCCTATGCGCTTGCGCCCGATCTCATATATCCCAGATCGTGATCTGTGGCGCCGAGCTGTTCACCTCGATGTGCGCCTACATGACCGCCGCCTGGTGGGAGGGCAAGGTCACCTTTCTGACCTGCGTGAGGATGTGGGTCGTGTCGTGGGTCGGCAACTTTGCCGGCTGCGCCATCTTCATCGGCCTCATCGTATCGACCCAGATATTTGAGGGGCGGGACTGGTACGCGCTGCTCATGGCCACCAAGAAGGTGGGTGCCCGTGGGGGCAGCAGCAGGAGAGCAGGGGTTCAGGTTCAAGACAAGGGATCGCTTTTGCTTGCGATGCTCAGCTGGATTGTGCTGCAGCAGCAGTTTCGCGATGATTGGGCAACTGTCAGCGCGCGAGGGCTTCCTGTGAGCAGCGCCGCCAATCGCCTGAGAGCAGGCAAGGTTTGTCCAAGCCAGCGCACGTGTGGCGCGCGCGCATGATCTTCTGCTCTGTACGACGACCAAGCTTTGCAACACCTGTTGCGCTGCTGCCCCGCAGGTCCACCACGGCTTTGGCAACACCCTGGTGCGCGGCATCTTTGCCAACTGGCTGGTGGGCATCGCCACGTGGCAGGCCAACGCGGCGCAGGACCTCTCTGGCAAGGCCATCGCCATCTGGTGGGCCGCCAAGCCAGTGCAGGCGGGGCCCGAGTTACCAACTGCGTGCTTCTAAGGGACCGTTTTTGGGGTCTGACACGCCTTACTCTGCCCCAGGCAACGCTCGCGGCCTTCATTGACTGTCGTCACTAGAAACCCCTGGCCCCACCGGCGCGCTTGACCCCACCCCCTCAGGCTGCCCATCTCCGCCTTTGCCATGCTGGGCTGGGAGCACTCCATCGCAAACCGTAAGCACTCGCCGCCACCACCCGCGCACACGGCGGCACCCATCCTGCACCAGCCTGATACGCGCCCTGCGACACACACACCTGTTCAGCAGCTCCGCCTGCTCTCGCCCCGCCAGCCTGCCTGTCTCCTGCCTCCTCAGCCATTCACCTGGCCACCATCTTACAGCACTCAACCTGGCTCCCTGACCTACAAACCCCCACCTCCACCCCTTTTGAACAGAGTACCTGCTGCCGCTGTCGATAGCCCTGGAGCCCGGCCACCTCAGCGCCTACCAGGTCGTGGTGGGCAACCTCATCCCCGCCACCATAGGAAACTGGATCGGCGGCGCCGTCTGCGTCGCCACCGTCTACGCGCTGGCCTACGGCCGTCCCAACCTCGTCATCACGCAGCGCGCGGAGCAGCTCAGGGCGGCGTGGGCGGGGCGCTGGGCCGACCGGCGGCGCCGCGGGCTGCCTGCATGAGGCCCACGCGCGCCATGCGGCAGCGGCGGGGCCCGGCGCATTTTGAGCCGGCCCGAAAGGATGTGTTGACATAGTGGGACGTCTGGCCGTGACAAGTGTAGCCTCTCTATTCTGACCGCCGCCCAATGTGCAGGAGTTTTAAGGGCGCCCAAATTATTTGTGCTGCACGCGCCACAGGTAGCCCCGTGGCATTGGCTGCGCCGTGCACACTCACTCCCAAGCGCCCTCGTCTGTCAACGGGTCCGGCAGTGGGGCCAGCCAGCTGTTGGTCGAGAGCCGTATTCCTGAGCCCACCGCGCTGGTGCTGTGCAGGCAGCGGCGGCTGCCGGGGCCGTCGCATGCGGCTCACCAGCACACAACCTGCCTCAAACCAGCGATCCTCGTCTGCATGCATGCCGCACGTGTCCCTTCCTTTTCTTTCTTGCAGTGGCACCATCTGGGAAACCACAGGACATCATCACTCCACGCGCGCAGGCGGCCGTTGTCCTCTACAAACAATATCACAGGCCGTTAACGCTGTGAAACACCAGCGCGTCCCGCCCGCCCGTGCAGCATCCCCTCTGTCAAACCCCGAACCTGCTGACCTGGTGCTGCTGCGGGCAATGCTGCTGGAACACGCTACTTCGCGTGCACACGGTGTGCTGCAACCGCACCACCGTAACCCGCACGCGAACGAGAGCAACGTAGCTGACGCACGCGCGTGCCTGCACCCAATCTCTCTGGCCTGCCATGCGCGCCCAAAATCATATGCTGCAACGACACCCTCGATTGTCTGGTTTGGCATGTGTCCACAAGCAAACAGCAGTCATATCTATACCGCGATACCTTGCGCTGGGGGCTTTTTGCAGCGCATGCCAGACAGACTTAAACTGCCAAGGCCCAGTGGAGCGACAAAGGGTGTCATGTGCAGACCCCCCCCGCAAAGGTCAACGTCGGTCAAACAAGGGTCAACCTGCCAGCTGCCGCCAACCACGCCGCTCAGATGTGAGGTGAAAGCGACAAGCGCCTTGCTTCGTGCGTCAAATCACACGCCGTAGATCAGCCACCCTTGCGGCCCCACGTAAGCCGCCGCCATCGCCGCGCCCGCCTCTGTCGGCTGCGTGAACGCGACTTGCGCCCGCGGCGCCACGTAGCACTGCACCACGTTGGCGCGCGCCGCGTCGAGCAGCCGGCTCGCCACGCCGCGGCGCCGCTGCTCGCAGGAGACCCACACCATGCGCACCCCCAGCGCCGCACGCACGGGGCGGGAGCGGTCGATTTGCAATCCCCTGCCCGCCGCGGGTGGCGGCATCTCCGGCGCCGTGAGCGGGCGCGCCGCCGTTTTGGTGCCGCCAGTTTCTGGACCGCCGCTTGGCCCTGCCTGCTCGCAGTCCACTTGCTGCTGCTGCTGCTGCTGCTGCTGCTGCTGCTGCCCCTCGTCCTGGACCTGCAGCTGGACAGTGGTCGCAGGCGTGGCCGCCGGCGACCCGAGCGCCAGCCCCTGCGCGACCCGCAGCAGCGCCGAGGGGCAGCTGTCTGCGCCTCGGGCCGCCGCGCCGGTCCCTCCGCTGCCCAGCGACGACGCGCCGCCGCCGCTGAGGCCCTGCGCCGCGTGGCTGGGCTGGCGGCCGTGGAGGCCGCGCCAGACTGCAGCGCCCTTTGGCTTGTCAGCCGCCTGCATTTGCTGCTGCTGCTGCTGCTGCTGCTGCTGCTGCTGCTGCTGCTGCGTCTGGGTTGGCCGCTGCTGGGAGTCTGCCTCCTCCCCCGCCGGCGCCGGCAGCACCCTGAACGCCTGCCTCAGGGGCTCCGCCACCAGCAGGCCCACCACGCGGCGCTGGGTCGACACGTACAGGAACGCCTGGACGGTCAGGGCAGGGGTGGACGGGGCTGGTGAATTTGGAGCGTGTGTGCGGAAGAGGAGAGGAAGAGTGCCCGTATGGGGTGCGCATGCCGACCCTGACAGGGGATGCTGCTGTTGCAGCCCCACGGCCCCTCGGGTTGTTGAAGCTGCGGGAAGGTCGCGCCGATCCCGCGCACTGCTTTCTTGACACAACAACCCCCTAACCCCCAGCCGTGCGCACCTTCCACTGTTCTCCCGCCAGCAGCCACCCTGGTGTGAGGCAGTGCAGCCGCTCCACCAGCGCCGCAACCTCCTGGACCTGCGGTGGGTGGGGGCGCATGTGTGTATGTGTGTGTGCATGCGTGTGCGAAGGCATGTGTGTGTGTGTGTGTGTGTGTGTGTGCGCGTACATGTGTGTGTATGTAACAAGGGTTCAGGTATGAGAGAGGTGGGGAAGAGAGGAGAGGCTGCGTGCCCGTGCTTTAGGAATGCACGTTTGAGGTGGAGGCAGGCCGGCAGTACCCAGGCAGGGTTGCACCCTCGCAGCGGCCCAGCCCAACGCCCCGCCCCTCACCTTTTTGACGTGGCTGGCGGGGTCGCTGGGCAGCACCATCAGCAGCCGCCCCTGGAACGCGTCAGACAGCAGCATGCGCTCGCACGCCCAGCCCTGAAGGAGGGGTTCATGCAGCAAACCAGGGTGGAGTCCCATTGCAATACGGGGCATGTGTGAGTATGTATTCGTGCACGCACGCATGTGCACGCAAGTAACGCAAGCATACCCATCCAGTCGCATGGCGGAGCGGTGTCACCGCGGACCCAGGGCTAGGGTGGTGGATGTGCTGCCCTGCGGAGATGCTGCAAAGCAAACCCTGCCATTCGCCCCGCTCAAGGCATACCCTCTGGACGACCCACACAGTACGCACCTGGAACTTGACGCCCTGGGTGCCGGCTGCGCAGTAGCTGCGGTGCAGCTTCTCATCGTCCTCCTGGCCGCGAGCGTACACCATGCCGCACGACGGGCAGCGGCTGGCGTTGAAGTCCCGCTATAGGGAGCCAGGAAGGGGGGGGGGCAGGGACGTCAGCCAGTGGCGGCACATGTCTGTGAACATCAATTGCTCGTGCATGCGACAAGCCCACTCTGCAGCGGGGACGGATCCCACCCCGGTGCCCTGGTGTTGCAGTGAGCACAAAATCCTCTGCACCAGCAAGCAAGCAGCGGGCGCCGCGCATGGCCCTTTGGCCGTGCATTCGGCCGCACCTGCCCCAGGTCAAGGAAGGCCTGGACGATCCTCTTGCTGCCCGCCGCCCGCGCCGCAGGCGCGTTGCCGCCGCTCAGCACCGCACCGGCGCTTTGTCGCTGCGGCGGCGCTGCCGGCGCTGACTGCCGCTGCGTCTGTGGCTTCTGCTGCTGTTGCTGCTGCTGGGGCTGCTGCTGTTGCTGCTGCTCAGGATGCTTGCCGCGTGCGCTGCCCCCACCATCGTCAGGATGCTGATTTTCCTTGGAAGCCCTAATCGAGCAATTCCATGCATGTTCCGTGGAATGAGGCAACAATGTATGCGCATGGGCGCATGCATGCACAGGGCGCATGGGCAGCAGTGTTCCATCAAAGGCAAGCACGCATGCGCGCAAAATGATGGGCGTGCTTTGGCAAGCCCCTGCAGCACCACTGACCTTGCAGGTTCTGGCTCTGCTTTGCGCTTCCGTCGCTTGTGCTGCTGCTGCTGCTGCTGCTGCTGCTGCTCGTGCTGATGCAGGTCGTGCTGGCGCTGTCCCTCCGCCGCCGCCTTCCCAACAGCCTGCAAAGCAGGAGAAGCTGCATCTGATTGTGCCTCTACTCCCTGCTTCTTCTCATAATACGCGTCCAGGCGACCCTGCTTCATGGCCACGGGCTAACAACGACAGCCTGGATCTATCACCTGTGCTGAGCTTGCTTTGCTGTCTGAGAGAAGGCGAAATACTGCCACGGTATGAGAACACCTATGCTGTGCCTTCAAAGGCTCGCGCCTGCAAATCAAAGTGGTGCAGGCAGCTGCACGACGATCGTGCGGGTGCTGCTCTGTCAAGCGCGCAAGCATACGGGACGATCAGACGCATATCGTCAAGCAGATGGGCTATATCTCATATCGCAGCGTACAACAAGCAATCTAGTTGTGCGATACACCCAGATCGGTGTCACTCGGCGACTTGCGGCGCCTTTGGCGGCCTAGTATTGTCCTGACCAGGTCAAAATTGCTACAGATTACGCTACAGTCGTTTTGAGGGGGCTCTGCTCGATCCAACAACATCGGACCTTGTTTGCCGGGAGGACACGCGGACTAAACCTATAAGCGCCGCCAATATGTGAGCAATGTTCGAAGTTTATTTCTACTATAGTGCTGAGTGCGCCTGGAACGGCGTGACTACTTGCTGGCTGCCCTGTGCAGCGACGGCACCCATTGCTGCTGCTGCTGCTGCCCTGCTCCCCGCCCGCCTGTTCCACACCTGGCCACCCCTGTGCCTCCAATGACCGCCGCCACCCGCTCGCCTCGCCACCTCGGACGCCGTCACGCCTGCGCCCCTCCCACGATCAACCGCGCCGCAGCGCCGCGGCGGAGCCATGGGGCTCGCGGCGGCGGCGGCGGGCGGCGGGCGCGAGCCCATGGCGGTCGACCCCTCTTCTTCCGGCGCCCTGGGCCCCGACGCCGCCATGGCTGTCCTGACAGAGGACCCCTCCAAGCTGGCTGCCCCCATAAAGGACATCAAGGACAAGTGGAAGCTGCTGCCCGCCTTCCTGCAGGTGCCTGGCCTGGAGACGCCCGGGCTGGGAGCGGGGCGGTCAGCGACGAGGGCAGGCCCAATGCAATGCTTGGATGGGCTTGCGCAGCGGGCGCACCTGGCGCGCAGCGCTCTGCTGCCAGGGGGGGCTCGGCTAGGGGTGCGTGTGCCGATGCAGCGCCGTCCACGCCCTTCATCAGTGGCCGTCTCACCATCAGGCTGTGGGTGGGCCGAGTGGCAAAGCACCTGCGGACTGCCGCCTGCAACCAACCCAAATGCCCCAGCAGCTGGCGCCCCCATAAAGCAAATCTCCTCCCTCCCTCACCCCGCACCCCCTCGGCCCCTCTCCCCCCTCCCACCC